CCTCCCCCGCTTTTACTGTCGGGTGTGTGGGTGTTTTCAATTATTTCAGATTCCCCTCTCACAATGAAACCTTTATTTTAAATAAGATCGTCTTCACCTCTCCGCTGGCGTGCAAGCTTCCCTTCCCCCTTGAGGCTTTCACGTAAAAATCTTCCAGTAACACTCTTTTCTCTGTCTGGGTGTCAGGAAAGTTTTTATTTTCACCATATTATTTTTCTTGCTCGTCCTCGTGAAGGGAGGGAGCGTTCTGGATGGGATATCTGACGGGAGAATCGGGATGTTCCCTGTCGGACTCCATGCCAACTCCCGCGTCAGAGATGAAATCATCGAAAATTTTAGAGAATGCAAATTTTCAAACATGAGTTGTAGAACTTTTCGATTCCGGAATCTTTGGGGATATGGCTTGGCTGCCTCAATTCTAAGAGTCGTCTTCTACTTCAATATCAGCCTATAGGAAGTTTTTTTTTTTTTTTTTTTTTTTCCTACGACAGTTGGTTATCTTGTGACTAAACGCTCGTGTGCGTTTGATGGGTATGTTCCTGTTTGGCTTACCTATGGATTTTTAAAATCAACTTTCATTGTGTCTTTCAGTCACTGAACGTTTTTCTACATTTGGCCGTCTGGTGACTAAATGCTTGCATGCGTTTGATGGGTATGTTCCTGTTTTGCTTACGTAATATGATGGATTTTAAAATCAACTTTCATTGTGTCATTTGATCGCAGAACTCATTTCGTAAGTTTTCTTAGGGCTTTCATTGTGTCATAAATGTGTAGCAATAACCCTTCCCCCTTGGAGGAATTTCTGCATATCTATATGAACGAAACCAAAGACGTATTACTTCCCATGTAACGTTCACTTGTAGATAAATCATTCATTGTTTGAGTTTTACAAAGCTCGATTTTAAGAGTTCTCGATCAAAAAGCCCCATCCAAACCACCACAAAAATTTGCTAATTTGATGGCGCTCCAACTCAATGTGTAGTGGCGTTGGTCTTTTGATAATGTATACTTTTCTGTTTTCATTTTCGCTAATTTCACTCGTGTGCCTGACGTATGATTATGGTTTTAGCTGACACAAGGTGTGGTTTATTGTCTTTGATTTTGTGTTCTGGTTTAAAGCACGATGGCAAAAACCAACGTTCATCGATGTGTGTGTGTGTATGTGTGTGTGTGTATGTGTG